ATAATAATAATAATAATAATAATAATAATAATAATAATAATAATAATACATGTAGTAATACGTTTATTCTAATGTACAATACAACAGTACACATGCACTATAGATGTGTGAGATTAAGAACTTGAAAAAAAAATTATATATATATATATTCTTTTTTATTAAAAAAAATAAAATAATTGATGCATAATTCCATAAATTCCAATGACATCAATCCTTGGAAAATAAAGAGGAATAATGTAAGAGGCCAGAGCCTTGTTGAAAAAGGTTTAAAAGTTAATTATACCAAACAGGAATGTAGAATTCTAATTTATTAATTTAATTAATGTTGTTATAATACAAGTGTTTGCAGAATAAGTCATTAATAATGATAAATTCATACATATAGGTGAGACCTTGGCTTTTTTACTAGGAAGTCAGATGTTTTTACATTTCAATGTCTGGAACGTCCCGCTGTGTATGTGAGTGCAACAGGTGCTGTGTGCCTTCAAGAGGGCGGGAGGGAAGAGAAAATGGATCGGGAAGACAGGAAGAGGGAGGAGAGGGTAAGAGGGCAGCTAATATTTTAAGATAATCCTCTTGACCTGTTCTCCTGCTCTTGTGTAAACTCGGACCATTCACTTCCAGCTATCACCAGATATGCTGGCAGTGGTTTGGCCACACAAACATCACAAAAACTCTGCTGAGTGTCAACCATTTCCCCCGCATTTCTTTTGCTTCGTCCACACACACACACACAAAAAACACACACGCACTCAGAGGGAGACACTGTCAGCTATTAGGGTGGAGAGGTCAGCTTTGAGGTCAGTGAACATGGCTGTTTTCGCACCCATTTTATAGCCATGTCTGCATTCCTCTCCCGCTGCGACCCATTTCTCTGTCTCTCTCACATACACACACACACACACTCACACAGCCGACACACGCACATGCAAAATAAAAAAAACAAACAAACAGAAATCGCTCGATAACAAGCCTGTTTTAGTTAAAGTGCATGTACCCCCAGCTGCTTCCATTTTCTCTTTTTCATCCCTTTGTCTCTTGCTGTCGCTCTCATAGTTGGCCGCATTGATTACTCCTCAGTCTTTCCCTCAGCTCCATCCACATGTTCCAGTTGTGCAAAGGTGGTTTGAACTTTGCTTTAGAATAAGCTGCATTTGTTTTATCCTCTGTTTGCTTAATGAAGAGGAAAACATCATGTGTCATCAGTGATCTGATGATGTCTTTTAAACTTCCTGAATTTTCCCTTTTCTCTCTCTTTAGTCTCTTACATAGAGGGCAGATTCGCACACACTATGCACAAAGAGACAACCAAAAACCTTTTAACTTTCAGGTTTCATCGTCCAATTCAGTATCAGTCACGGTTCGCGTAATGCCTTTTTGATAAAGAATAACTGGCTTCATCAAGAGCCTCACTTTGATATATTGGAATCACTCTGGCCAAAATGACAAATATCTGGCTTCAAGCCTGAGATTTTTCTGCCGTCGCCGAGGCTAATCCACACACTCACAGAGCCAGGGTCACAGCAGGGCGACATGGGGAGACCGGCTGTGAGACTGGATGATTCATACCTTTTCTTAAAGCAACTGCGCTATTGCCATCAGGAGCACATGAAAACAAAGACTCATTAAAAGAAAATGAGAATTCAGCTCGACTTTTTTCTGGTGTCAGTAGTTGGTCAGGCATGGCAATGAGCAATTACAGACATGAACAAGAAGCTTTAAACATGCTCTCCTGGAAATACCTGTCAATTAAAGACCCATGGCAGTGGTCAATAAACCGTAAATAATTTACTTGGTCTTTAAGTTTTGTAACTTAAGTTCCCCCAAGAACACATGTTTTAAAGAGAGGAAATAATGGTCGTACTTTGAGAGAAGGGATCTGGTGGTATGTGATGCTGTTAATAGGTTTAGGCTGAATGAAAGTTGTTAAAAAAGAATATAAATTCAAATAGTAGTTGTGTAATGATAAAAGTTCAAGATGGTAACAATTTTTTGTAACATGTTGTCTTGATGAGGTAGTGTGTAGAAAACATGGTGAAAACTTGCATCAATGTTTTGTTTTTTTAGTTGAGTTTAACCACAGGTTCCTTAACCACAGAACTAGCTAAATGTATATTAATGTTTAAACCCCTACTATATGTTCATCATGCCTGCTAGTAATCAACCACGACTGACAGCTTTCGGACCAAATATGGTGAGAACATGAACCTGATTACTCCTCCATGTAGCTTTGCATTGTCTCATTATGAGTATTTTCTTAAAAATGCAATGGTTGTGCAGTGTTAATGCAAAACATAGAATTACAATTTGCAAGCAAAAGCATAGATGTGGGATTGATGATGCCTGTTTGATGTTATGCAAAATATCTGCGTGTTATTATTTTAAAGGGCTAATGTTAGAATATAACCATTTTATTTCACAAAAAAATGTTTGCAAAGTTATTTTTGCAGAAATTGCCATTTTTTTGCCTTGTTATTATTTTTTAGGGTGGATTCTGTGGACCAATGTATCTGTTTCTCATTCTGGGGTGAGACCACAGTGACATAGTAGTAACTTTTAGCAAAATAAACACTGAATTTGCTTTCTCTAAAGTATCACCACAAGTTTGGAATATATACCACCATATTACAGGATATGTCATCTCCCGAAACCTATGTCTGTTTACAGAGAGACAGGGAAGTATTGGCATACAGCAGACCGAGCCATGTAGCCTATCAGGGGTCAATGTAAGACTCTGTTCAGACAGTGTAGCTCATTGAAATACAGCTCACACACCCATGAATATGATGCTTTCTCACAAGCCTGGGCAATGGGATCCTTGTCGGTTAGAATTACTGAGAATATTGTGCATGTGTTGTGCCGTGTAACCCCATTCACACTATCAAACTGCAAAAGCAGATTAGGTTGGGTTACATACGAAGAGAAAATGGGATTTCACCTCTTTTGAGCACAGATAAAACATTTTCACGTCTATTTCAGAGGATAATAATCACAATTTTTC